GCATGTGTTTCCCTCTCCATCACCACAGCAACTACCACAATGTCATTTTATGCCCAATTTTATGTGTATGAGATGGAACCTTAACGTTTTAATTTGCATTTCTCTTATTATCAGTGACTTGGGAGAATTTTTTTATATGGCCATTGATAACTTAGATTTCTTTCTTTAAGAACTGTGCTCACATTCTTTTATCATTTCTCTATTGCGGCATGGCTCTAGTTCTTATATATTTTAATCAGTTCCTTTGGATGGGAGAACTTTGTCAAAGAAACTTGATAAAAATAGTTTTCTCCCTGATTTGTTTCCCTTCTGATTTTAGACACATTAATTTTCTTTGTGCAAAAACTTTTCAATTTTATGTAATCAGAATGGTCCATTGTATCTTCTGTGATCTTCTCTATCCCTTGTTTGGTCATAAACTCTTCCCCTATCCACAGAAGTGATAAGTATTTCCTTCTTTGCCCTTCTAATTTGTTTATAATGTGACCTTTTGTATCTAGGTCATGCATCCTTTTGGAACTTATATTGGTATACTATATGAGATGCTATTCTAAACTCAATTTCTGCCAAACTACTTTCCAGTTTTTCTAGCAGTTCTTATTAAATAGTGAGTCCTTGTTCCAGAAGTTGGGGTCTTTGGATTATGTTACTATGTTCATTTCCCTCCATATATTGTATACCTTATCTGTTCTACTGATCAATCTATTTTTTTAACTACTAGAAAATTAGTTTGATAATTGCTGCTCTGTAGTATAGTTCCACTCTTAAACCCTTGACATCTGATTTTCGTTCCAATCACCCTATTGAAACTCCTCTCTCAAGGGTCACTAATGATATTCTACTAGACAAATCCAAAGACTTTTTCTCATTCCTTGATCTTTCTGAGATAGGGGATGTTGTCAATCTCCTTATATCTCTTTTACTCTCTTGGTTTCTCTGGCCCTATGCCAACCTGGTTCCCTTATGCCTTTAACTGTGAAATCACTTCCTGGATTCCCTGGCTTTTCTTGTTCTTTCTATTCTGTAAACATGGATATTCCACAGTTCAACCTTGTGCCTTCTCTTTCTACTCATTCCTTCAAAGATCTCCCAAACTCCCATTCTCTCTGATTATAATTGCTATGATGAATTAGTATAAGAATTAGGACATGAATCCAGGTTTCCTGATTCCTAATTCCAGCATTCTTTCCATTATATAAATAACACTGTTTACATCATATTGTACTTACTAAATGTCACCATTTTCTTTAGTAGCCCAGAGATAGTCTAAGTTTAGAGATGTGCTCATATCTCATGGCCTGTGAAATCCATTTCTGTGTTACCTCATTGTAGGTGCAATAAACTCACACACACATCATAGGATATGTACCTGATATAGGGAGTATTTTATTCTCTCTTGCTGGCAGAAACAGACCCCTATTGTCAAGTACAGCACTCAGTAAACGTTATTGACTGAATGAATATATAAGAAAAGATTGGGAATCTCTTATTAATCAGGTTTTGACAAACCAGGAAACTCAGTTTAAAGCTAGAGTTCTTAACCTGGGATCTGTAAACTTAAAAAAAATTTTTTTTGATAACTGCATTTCAATATAATGAGTTTTCTTTGTCAACCAACATATTTTATTTTATGTAGTAAAAAACATTTTGAGAAGAGATCCATAGGCTTTACCAGAATGCTAACAGGATCCATGCCATAAAACACATTAAAAACTAGTTTTAGAGGCAGGAAAGAATATTAGGCTTGGGTCAGCATTGCAAACTATGGTCTGTGAAACCACAAGACTTTCTGAAGAGTTTTTCAGAGTTTCTTTAAAAATATTTTGAAATAGTGTCTACATTTAACATGTGTTCATTATGACTTTTTTTTTAGGCTGAAACTTGATATGATGATAAATGATAAAATGCACTGCAGAGAATTCTATTCCCTTAGTACTTACAAACAGTCGCTCCAGATCAAACATGAAATGTGAGATCCCCTTCACTTTTTGTTGGATCTACGAGAAACTTATTTTATTCACTTCATTGCTATTTTGAGATGTTTCACAGGGATTCTTTTCGATAATATTTATCCAGCTTGACCAGTAGCAATGCTATGGGTTTATATATTTCACAATTTGATATATCCTTTGAAAATGCACATATTCTGTAACCTGATGGAATGTGTAAAATAACGACATAAGAGAATATGTTAAACAGTCTTGTCATTCCCATCATAAAGAATTTTGGGAAGGAGAGAGGCCATGTAGAGCCTGGAGAGGGGAAGATGTGGAGGGGAGTAAGTTGCCATGATATCATTAACAGCAGTTTCTGTATCAAGGCTGTGTGGGAAGATCATCAGACTACTTGGGTTGCATATAGTGCTGAGTGATAGCTCCTTCCTTCCTCCCTCTCTCCTTCCTTTTTTCTTCCTCTTTCCTTCCTGCTTCCCTTTCTCCTTCCCTTCTTTCCCTTTTTCCTTTCCTTCTTCCCAGAGAGAGGTTAAACTTGATGTGTTATCTCAAGTTGGGGAGAACTTCTTCTCTTAAATCTTTGTCTTTCTGTATTTATATTTACTTTGTTTCTTAAAATGTCAATTGTGATCAAATCTATTCTAACTCTAACAAAGCAGAAGTGATGCATCACCTCCATGCGAATCCATATTGCAAGAATCTATTCAAAACCTAAAGATTTGTACAACTTGAGGTCATCATGGCTTTAGGAAGTCCCTCTAGTCTAGAGTCTCAGAATATCCTTGCTGGGAACCTGGGCAAATCCTAGGATACACCAGTTTCTAAAGGAATAAATTCTGACAAAGCAACAATAACGATGAAAACAACAAAAAACCTTGTCCAAACATCCTGGTAACAGACATCATACAAGGTCTTATGGTGCCAGTTACACCAGACATCACAGAAGGTCTTATGACACCAATGCACACCAGATATTTCATCTGGCAGATGAAAAAGGGCCTGACTTTGGTGTCACAGAACCTGAGTTCAAATCTTGGCTCTTCTACCTAATACCTGTATGATGTTGAACTCTCTGTGCCTCACTGTCCACATTTATAAAATGAGGGGAGAGGATGAGATGATTGCTAATGTTCCTTTTAGCTCAATGATTGTATAATATGTTTATCAATATGAAATTTACTTATCTCAGGGAATAAAATGTTGCTGTATTGCTCTTGCATCTTAAATCTATGATGCTGTTTGATGGCAATGAGAATCTAAAATAAGATGATTGAGAGAGAGAGTGAGAGAATAAGAAAAAAGGAATGGGAGAGAATGTGAGTATGGAGGTGGGGAGAAATGGAGGGAGAGAGAGGGACAGACATATAGACAGACAGATTCTATGACTTTTTCTACTTTCCTAGCAGGCAAGAGTCTAGAAAATAATGTAAAAAAAAAAGTATTTTTTTTAAAAAGAGAAATAATTAGGCATTGCTTTCTCTTTTTGAACACTGAATTAATTATATGTTAACAACAAAGCCATTTCCTTCCAAATAAACATGCGAATTCATGGAATTCCTTTGATAATAATTTTAAATGGTTACTGGTGCCTGTGGTTCTTTCTGCAAAAAAGCGATTAGGGATTAGCTCCATATTAAAAGTACCATTTCAAGTTACATCGGTTGAAAGAGGCACCCAAAATGAACAAATACTTTTTATACTCTCCCTCCTAATCTCCATCTCCCAACTTCCTTTAAGTCTCAGCTAAAATACCACCTTCCAAAGGAAGCCTTTCCTCTTTAATTCCACTGCCATCTTCTGTTGATTATTTCCGATTTATCCTATATGTAGCTTGTTTCTACATAGTTGTTTAAATGTTGTTTCCCTCATTAGTCTGTGACCTCTTTGAGAGTAGGGGCTACCTTTTGCCTTTCCAGTGCTCAAATGTTTATTAACTGAGGGATCAAAGTAGATATTTTGTATGTCAATACACACTACGCATTTTAGAGGATCACTCCCAGCATTTCAAATTAAAACTGTCTGTCCTAATTGCTCGATCATATCAGGCATTTTGGATTATGTCTATATGGCTGATGAAAGGCAATGTAGCATAGGGGCTAAAGGGTTAGTTTTAGAATCAGAAGAATTGGGTTCAGTTTCCTTCTCTGACACATATTAGGTATGAGCTAATCAGATAATCTTAATGCCATCCTGGGCAACTCTGTTTGCTATGAAACTGTCTACAGCTATGAAGGGAGTTTCAAGAGAGACCCTCTCCCACCCCATATGGACGAATTCACAAGTTCAGATCAAAAACGTGTGTGGAAAAGAATGGAAACAGAGTAGGACTGAAGCTGAGATATCGACATATATAGAAAAATATATACATATACACAGATCTATCTGACTGCCTGTCTTTCTATCCATCTATGCATCTATGTATCCATGTATGCATGTATCTATCTATCTGTGTGTCTATCTGTCTAGAGTCACAAAGACAAACATGTATTTTGTCTCCTGCTGCCAAAGCATACATTTCAAGATCTCCCATAGTTGTGTGTGTGTGTTTGTGTGTGTGTGTGTGTATGGCTATTAATTCTTTAGATGTGACTTTTGGAAAGGGTATGGTCACGAAAGAGAAAATGTCAATATCACCATCAACTAATGTGCTTGGGTACTCATCCTGGGATAGGAGTTATAAAGTACATACCTTACCTTCTAATTTTATTACATATTTTAAATTGGAATTGAAATGATGGGACCAAATGTTCTATGACGTACCTAACCTCTTGTTGGTATTAAATGTAATAACTGCCATGAACTACTAAAAGTATATAATTATGATAGGAATATGACCTGCTTAAGGATTATTCAGCTAGAAAAAAAATACTGAAAATGATACAGTATTTTTTTTTAGTCAGTACAGTTTACTGGAGATGATGTAAATTACTAACCTAATACAATAGTTTTTTTTTTTAAACAATAACAGCTAAAACTCAAAGAATCAAAAATGTCAACTCTATTCAAACTAAATAGCACCATCAACCACAAAAGATTTATTTTGCTGACCTGTTTGGTGAAGATGATCTCTAGCCACTTCAAATAAACGCAGGTGCATATTTGTAACAGGGTTAAAGGAGCCACAGGCAAGGAGAATAACTGGTATCTTGCACTTCATTTTGTTAGAAGCATCAAAATCTTTCTTAGAAACACATCTCACCTAAAAGAAAACGTTATAGTCAATAAACATTGCCACAATATTTTTTCAAAACAGTTTTTTTGTAATAATGGAAAGAGTGGTTATTTATCACTTGTGTGACTGGCAGGGCAAAAATCCAACATGATAGTGTTTATCTATGGAATACATACTTAACATTCAGATACAATAAAATACGTGAACATGCAGCTATATCAATTAACATTCAACCTAGGTCCAGAGAAGATCCTCTAAATGTATACTTTGACATCAACAAGAATCACAGAACCTGGAATTCTGAAAGAATCTTGGAAGCAATTTTAATATATCCCCTCCCTGATTTGCTGAATTCCTATTATAGCATTCCTGAGAAATGGTCATCCAGACTCAGCTTCAGTGTTACCAATATAATGAAATTCAGTAATCACAATAGGCAACCTATTTAAAAAAAAATTAAGTGGATTTTAGTGATCTTTTAAGATCAGGTTCATTTCTCATTGTACCCCTTCCCCCAACACTCCCAGAGAGCCATCCTTTATAATAAATACAAATGAGGAAGAAAAAGAAGTTCAGAAAAGCTAATACATTGAAAAAAAAATCTAACATTGCATACAAAAATTCACTCTTCTGCAAAGGACTTGGGGAGGTATAGTCTTGCAGCTCTTATCTGAGGACTAGCTTGGTCATCAGAATTTTGCAGCATTTAGTTTTGATTTTGTCGCTGTGACGGTTGCGGTTGTTTCCATTCATATTGTTCAGTCATTGTGCATATTGTTTTCCTGGTTCTGTTTACTTCATTTGCATCACTTCATGTAAGTCTTTTCATGCTTCTCTATTTATCACATCCAGAATTTCTTACAGCATGGCAATATTCTATTTATTGGTGGCCCAGCTCTAATGCTAGCACTTTCTTACTTCTCGTTCCATTTTGGATGAAATAAGAGACTTGTAAATCACTGAACACTTAACAAAGGAGCAGGCTCTAAAATAGCAAGGATGCGGAATAAGGATACAATTAGCTTCTCTGGATTTAGGCTCCCTCATCTCCATATGGAAATGTATCTAGTCATCAGGTCATCGGGGTATGGCAACTTGTGTGGTCTTAGGTACTCACCAAGTCTGAGAGGCTCAGATTCCACATGGCTGGGATTTTTTTTTGCCTAGATGACGAGGAAATCACATCAGAGAAGTTGGGGCCAATCAGGTCCCAGGGGCAGCTTTGTCTTTTTTTAGGGAATGCTTCCATATTTTGTGTGTGGAAGGAAAGAAGTTGTATCAGGGAGACCACTGATCCTTTCACAATATTCAGGTACAGTAATTCATTTAACCATACCCCAATTGATGGAATCCTACTTTGTTCCAGTTCTCTGCTATTATAAAATACCATGTGGGTGGTGGTGGAGAGAAGGGGTGGGATAACAGCATTTATTAAGCACCTACTATGTGCCAGGAACTGTTACAAAAAATCTTTATATTATCTCATTTGATCCTCACAACAACCCTGCAAGAGAGGTGCTATTATTATTATTATTGTTCCAATTTTATATTTGAGGAAGTAGAGGCAGAAAAAACAGAAGAGGATCTCAAATACAGCCTTGGGGGATACATGATATGGATGAAGATTTAGCAAAGGAGATTGAGATTGAGGTCAGTCAGGAGACCCAAGAGCAAGCAGAGGAAAATCCCAGAGGGAAGAGGGTATCCTGAAGAAAGTGGTAAACAGTGTCAAATGCTGCAGAGAGCTAAAAAAGGATGAAGCCTGAGAAAAGGTCAATGGGTTTGGCAATGAAGTGATCAGCCACGTGTAAAATAGTCAGGGGAAAGTGAAGTGAGGAAAGGATATTTTTTTTGGGGGGGTAAAGTATGAGTATGAGGTAAGGTTCTCAACTGACAGTGAAAATAGGGGGTGCTCAAAGAGAGAAGGAAAGGTTTGGAATGCCTACTGTGGTGAGCGGGATAGAGAATGGATTAGGGATGATTAGAATGATTACCTTCCTGCAGTGCGGGTCCAGTTGAGATTAAATAACTAATTTGTGGTGGACCTAGTCCACCACATGATTTCATGTTTCAAGGCATGGTTTCATGACTCCTTCTAGCATGAAAGTAGGAATAAAAAAGCATGATTAGGTATAGGAAAAAGGAGCAGAGGATTTGAGGGTAAAGGATAGGGTACAGGTGAACTACCAAGTAGTCCACATTAGGAAAGGAGAAGAATGTAGTCAGAATAGGGGTGATAGCTTGAGAAAGTGCTGAGAGGTAGAGGAATTAGAGGTCATGGGGAAGTTTCAATATAGATTTCAGAGTAGTAAGGCATAGGGAGAGATGGAATGATTAAATGATTGTAATCAGATAAAGAAATTTTGGAGTTCTTGAACACTGAAGGAGAACACTTCTGGATGATGGCAAAATCAAATGTGTGACTATCTTAGTGTGTAGCTCAAGTAAAGGGGAAAGGTAGCACTCAGGAGGTTAGTAGTTTGAGGAACTCAGAAATTATTGAGGAAGCACCAATATGTGCACTGAAATACCCTAGCAAGAAGGTGGTGGGATAGAGAGGAATATTGTGAGAAAAGTATTGAACTTATTGAGAAAGGAGGGAGACCATCCTGAGGGTCAGTGGATAATATCCATCAGAATCTGAATTGGATGATAATTTTGCTAAGTAATGCTGGTAGATGAAGAGTCTGGAAGTGACAATAAGGAGCAAGATTTATTCTTACTCCTCACTGGGACTAATGGCGGTATAAGAGAAGAGGTAGCCAGTCCTTTCCAGGATGGCCAAAGATGCAGCATTATCTAGATGAGGAGCTAGGTCTCAGTGAATGTCAAAAGACAGAAGGAACAAGAGGAGATGGTCAAAATGAAGGAAGTTTAAAGAAGGCACAGTGTAAAGGGCAGGCAGATCTGGAGTGGGGCTAGAGTAGGATTGAAGTCGACGTCTGTCATCTAACTAGTTATCCCTCCTGGCTTTATATCATCTGTAAACTTGACAAGTATGTTATCTGTATCTTCATATAAGCCATTCATAAGAATGTTAAAAGGAACTAAGTCCTGTAACATACCACCAGTCCCCTCTTCATATTGATATACTTTTGCTAGTTAATACTTTAGGTCCTGTCATTCAACCAGTTTTGAATCTACTTATGCTTTAACTCAGACTCCATATTAAGATTTGAAAGGAATATTGAGAGAGGCTTTGTCAAGTGCCTCAAAGAAAGAAAGAAAGAAAGAAAGAGATTAAGTTGGTCTGGAAAAACTTGTTCTTAGTGAGCTTGTGCTTACATCTAGTGATTATTGTTTTGTTTTCTCAGTGCTTACAGATCAACCATTTAATAAGGCACTCTAAACTTTTCTGAGGATCAACATCAGACAATTGAAGATTGGCAGAATCCACTTTCTTCCCTTTTTGAAAATCCATACATTTGTCAATTCCCAGTCTCTAGCAACTCTTGCATTTGCCAAGATTCTGCAAAGATCATTCACTGTGGCTTGGCAAACACACCTGCAAGTTCTTTAATAATCTTGGTATTTAGAACTCTAACTTTCCAAAATTGTTCCCTTTAACACCCCAAGTTAGAGAAGGCTCCTCTGGAGCACAGTCAAATATATAGTCAACAACCTGTAACAGAACAACTTGTTTCTACCAGTGACCTGGCTTCATGAGTTCTAACTGACTTTTTTGTAACTTTGATCCTAGTTTCTTAGATTCCATTTTCCTAGTTGGTTTGATTTCCTGTTGCTGTCCTATTCCTATTGCATCTTACACTTTGGTTCCCTGACTAGCACCCTGTTTCACTTCACCTGATATCTTTGGTTCTTATTAGCAGCTGACAGGGTCTCAAATGCAGTCCTGACCTCACTGGCTGTTAGCCTTTATTTGCTTTCCTCCCTGTTAATTCTTTGACAAGACAAGGTTCTGACACCGAGAATGTAATCTGTCCAAGCTGACAGATCTAAGCTACCTTCAAGTAGTTAGGTACGTTTTTATCATATTTTCACCAATCATGGGTTTCAATTTTTCTCACAGCCTTGTCTTTTTCTATGAACAGGAATGGAATAGTTCTACTTTCTGTCATCTGTCAATATGGCACAATATAACTTACACATCTTCTTGTATAAAGCAATTAGGTCTAGGCCAGAGGTTAAGTGAATCTAGAATCCTCAGTGGTTCCCATAAAAACTCTCACTACTGACTGCCACAGGAAACTGACAGTCACTGCCGCTGGGTCCTAGACATCTGAGGGCAACCAGAGCAAGTCTCTTCAGCTAGTTTGATTTTCTGCAATTATCTCATGTTATATGGTAAAAAATTTTCCTGGGTAGGAGTGAACAAAAATTAGTATAAGTCTGTTAATTCATTAGATACAATACACATTATATTAGAGGTAATAAGGAATCATTGGAGTTTATCAAGCAGGGCAGTAACATGGTCAGGCATGCATCATAAGGAAATTTCTTTGGCAGCTCTGTGAAGCATGGATTGAAATGAGGGAAGACTTGAAGCAAGAAGAACAAGCAAGAGATGAAAAGGACCTGAACTAGGGGGTTGGCTCAACCACCATACACAGAGAAGCTTACTTTAAGGTATTAGCGAGTCCTTCATTATTTCTGTATCTTCCTGCAACTTCAGTGAAGAACTACCAGATACCTAAGCACCAGTAGTATGTTAAATTCAAAAGAATAAAATTGGCAGTCTTTCCTCTGGAGAGATTAAAGAGAGAAAAGAATACTCAATAGGCAGGTCAAGCTGCCCTTTCCTTCTTGTTCTGTTTCCAGCTCCAAAGAACTCTGAACTTACCAGGTAGGAGAAAGTTGATGAAGCCTTTGTATTCTCACCTTTCTTGTTATGTTTGACCCTGTCCCTGTAATGATTTGTACTTCCCAATAATCATGTAAAAGGTTCCTAAGCAGTAGCCATTCAACTCTCACTCTATCAATCAATATATGTATGTGTATGTATGTGTCTATCCATCTATCATGTATGTGTGTGTATCTATAAAAATGAGAACTCCACAGGGTTTACC